AGGCAATCCAGCCTGGCATGCGCTGCTCTCATCTATCTGTGCATTTCATTGCCAGGTGTATTATCGGCCGCACGGCTGTTCGCCATTCTAAAGACCGTGTCAACAGATGCATCGCGTAGGTACCCGAGTTGACAGCGCTGTGGACTGGTGGGTCATTCGACTTGGGTGCCCTGGGGGCGGTTAGCAAGCGAGCACCCGGTGATGAGAGTGGCACTAGCTGTTGGCGTTGCTCACGTTCAATAGACATTTATCAGAAATGGCAAGTCTATTGTTGAATTCGGGCAACCACGTGCAGCCTTGGGACAAAGAGACCATTCACCGCGCAGGCGAAGGTTGTACTTTGCTCGCTGTTTCCATTCGAAAGCGTCTCCCGAATGAGCATGGTGTGCCAGGGCGTCGCCTTCAGCCAAAAAGCGAAAAGCACATTCGTGCTTTTGACGGCCAAAGTTTCTTTTGAACACCCATAGAACATTCAAGGTGGCGAAGGATACAGCATGAACATATATTCAGTATCGGCAACAACAGCAAATCCAGCGTATGTCTCAATGCTTATTTCCACAAAGTGGGTGAGATGGGTGTGGGAGTGCACCCCGTATTTTTTGATAGCGAATACCATGATTTTGCAGATATAAATGCTCTTCAAAAAGTGCAATAGGAAGCTGTTTCAGATCGACAGGTTTGTTGCCAGAATTCTAAGATCACATTCTGTCTTAATCATTGCGTTTGGATATTCCCTAGTTATGACATAGTGCAACTGCCATAACTCAGCAGAGGTGTCATTTTATGCACCATGCCTAACTCGTTGTAGGAAGGAGACAATTCCATAATCGTACTATTTTCGGATACAGAGACTGATGGGCAATACAGGACAGAATGAAGGAAACTGGATATGCGCGATTTTTTATGACAAACTTTTCCACGAAAACAGCACTCTATCAACGTGAATTATTCCGCTTCATCACCTGTGCGGGAAAGAGACCTTACATTTTTTTCGCTTTTTTATTGATCCATAACAGAAAAGTTCCCGCAGGATGGCATTTCACGCACTTTGCTTTTGTCACCTAACCTCGAATTTTAGGGTACCTGACGCAATCAATAGCAGCACCAGCAGTGGATCTGGGGGGAGGGGGAGAGGGGCTTGTTGGATTTTCTTTACTTGAGATTAGAGCCCACGCGGCCAGCAATATTTCTGGGATTCCGCTACCGTGTGAGACCTCCACTACGACGCCATAAACCGCACAGGGACTCTTTCTGTGTGATTTGTTCCAGCACGCTGGCCGAGCTCCCGCCAGCGCGGCCATCAGGCTGACTCACGACTGACGGCCGCAGCGTGCCCTGGCAGGGCGGGGGCGAGGGTGGCATAGAGCGGAGTGGTCGATGAGCGAAACAGCGCGGGTGGAAGGCATACATGAGGCATCCAAATTTTATTGGGTACTCCAGCATGAAAAGGTCGCTACGACACCACTGACACTGTCCTCCTGCATTGAGCCAGTCATAAACATCACGCCAAAACACAGCTTCGAAGCACGTAAAGTTCACAGTCGACAAAACTTGCGCACGCGTGTAATAATGCAAGCATGAGACGCACGAGTCAACGTCCGTTTGTGCCAGGCTTGTGCTGCCATCTGGAATGTGGCGGATCAAACTGCGGAGGAACTGTCCGCTGGATGGCGCTCACTCATACACTGAGAGCACAAACAGATTCCGCTGATGTCGCCGCCGTGTTTACCAATTGTTTGTCACACCCAGTAAAAAAAGTCATACTCCGTACCGATCCAAAACCATGTGCGGGAACTCTGACCCACAGGCGAAGAGCGGCTTAAAGCTAGACAGCATGCCTGAGAGCTAAAACAGGTGGCGCCGGGGTTAGAACAATGATGCATGTGGTATTCGTACGTAGGTAGAGTAATTGAGGCAGTCGCACCTTGGTTCGTGCCAGCTACCATTCGTTCTTCATATCATGCATCAATACATCGTCGCGACCTAGGCTTATCCGGGGCAACCTACATGGGCCCGCCATGCTTAGGTGGTTTAGCGGCTTTGGGGAGTTCAGTTGGCTCCGTCCGAGCGCCCAGCCCTTACCCTGCACAGGACCCCTATTCAGATATCCATGTAGGGGTCCCTGCGCAGGCCACGCCTCAGTGAAGGACCCTCAGGGGTTATGCTATTTCGCTCACCAGTATCCACTTTCCGTGATCCCGCAGCCCTCAACTGGTCGCTGCTGGCCGAAAAGGCTCATGGTTTTACGGCGTAACACAAGCAAGGCGATAGGAGACCCAACTGCTATCACCATGGAGATAATGCCAAAACTTCACAGTCAAAAACAACCAAACCAAACGAAAATATTGATCAATGAAGACTCATCAATCTTCAGCGAGCTACAAGCAGCCAGACCGTGCAGTGCAGGATAGGGTGACCACCTCAGATGTAAGTGCTTGGGCACGAACCGCTCCGAGCGGATCAGGCATTGCGCTCCGCACCCTAAGTATAACCTCACCAT